TGATATAAACTGTAGCGCGATTGGACAAGTGTACTTCCGCTGGCCGGATAGCTCGATAGGTTAAAGCGACAATACAACAAATTGAGGTCCTGGGTTCGAGTCCCTGGACTTGTCATGCTGATTGCCACACTCTGAATACTGTTGTTGATTTTTCTTTTTACACTTATTTCCTGCTATTTTTTATATAAAGCAGCAAAGAATGGACTTATTTTCAAAAACGACTTATCAGGTATATTGCTATGCCCGAAAAATTGGCTTCCAGTACATAGTTTTAGCTTTTGGCAGTGTTACGGGGAATCTTAAATAATTATCAACCGTTTGATAGTGTTGTTAAGGGGGAATAACAAGACAAGTAGTATCCTTTAGATAAATATTTTTAGAAAATTATTTTGAGTCTTTGACATAATCAGTTTCATTGACATACTTCATCCTCAGGTTCATATGTAGAAATTATTGTAACATGATCAATTATATTGACATGCTTCATCCTCAGGTTCATCTGTTCAAGTTCTTTATTTGCTGAAGTTTTACGACTTATGGCAATTACACACACTCACACTGACTCGCACACATCATCCTCATCATCAAGAACACTCACACTAACTCGCAAACATCATTCTCATCATCCTCATCCTCATCCTCCTCCTCATCATCCTCCTCCTCCTCCTCCTCCTCATCACATCGTCATATCAGCAACAGCATCAGCAAGCATTCGTCATTCATCATACTCACATTCATACACACGCCAGAACCTTTTTCACCCTCATTCACCCAGACAAGACTTATCAATATAATGGTATATGAAATAATTTGTATTCAATAAACTGATATACAGCATGTATCTTATCATGACCTGTTCTAGTGATGATCTCTTAATAAATCCGCTCTACGCTTAAACGCTTGTGATAAATACTTTCCTAAATTATTAAGTTCTTTTGTGTTTTCGATTTTGAGTAATTGAACAAATTTATACATACTAGGCCTTTTGAAATAATATTGCTTTATGCATTTAGACCGGAAGTCGAAATAGCAATTACATTTAATTATAAAATGAAATTCATCTTCTATATCATTTTCCTTACATAAAATACACTTTCTTTCTTCTCTAAGTATATATATCTCTATAATAGCGGCCACTTCAAAAAACAGGTCATGCGCACATAAACGCATCTTAGAAATATGTTTTAGATAATTTAAGTTTAATTGCCTTATGAAGATATGGTTGCAATTTAATACTTTCCACTAAATGCTGATATAATACTCCTTTAGGAGAAGAATGAATTTTCTCTAGACAATCTTGCTGAAAACTATCACATAATCGCTGCTTATTTACTTCACTAGAATTATTAATACTATCAGTCACAAACATGTATCCAAGGCCGACTCTTGAAAGATCATGTTTTAAGTTAAGGATCCAGGGGTTTTTAATTTCAACCACATCATCATAACAAGCTTTCAGCACACAGTTATCAGAACGTTGTAATTTAATCCAATACTTATTTTTTTTTTAATTCTTAGCAGCTCTAAATGAGATCTTCCAAATTCAATATGTAGAAATTATTATAACATGATCAATTATATTGACATGCTTCATCCTCAGGTACATTTGTAGAAATTATTATAACATGATCAATTATATTGACATGCTTCATCCTCAGGTACATGTGTAGAATTTATTATAACATGATCAATTATATTGACATGCTTCATCCTCAGGTACATGTGTAGAATTTATTATAACATGATCAATTATATTGACATGCTTCATCCCCAGGTACATTTGTAGAAATTATTATAACATGATCAATTATATTGACATGCTTCATCCCCAGGTACATTTGTAGAAATTATTATAACATGATCAATTATATGGACATGCTTCATCCTCAGGTACATATGTAGAAATTATCATAACATAATGAATTATATTGACATGCTTCATCCTCAGGTACATTTGTAGAAATTATTGTAACATGATCAATTATATTGATATGCTTCATCCTCAGGAACATATGTAGAAATTATTATAACCTGATCAATTATATTGACATGCTTCATCCTCAGGTACATTTGTAGAAATAATTATAACATGATGAATTATATTGACATGCTTCATCCTAAGGTACATATGTAGAAATTATTATAACATGATCAATTATATTGACATGCTCCATCCTCAGGTTCATATGTAGAAATTATTATAACATGACCAATTATATTGACATGTTTCATCCTCAGGTACATATGTAGAAATTATCATAACATAATGAATTATATTGACATGCTTCATCCTCAGGTACATATGTAGAAATTATTATAACATGATCACTTATATTGACATGCTCCATCCTCAGGTTCATATGTAGAAATTATTATAACATGATCAATTATATTGACATGTTTCATCCTCAGGTACATATGTAGAAATTATCATAACATAATGAATTATATTGACATGCTTCATCCTCAGGTACATATGTAGAAATTATTATGACATGATCAATTATATTGACATGCTTCATCCTCAGGTACATTTGTAGAAATTATTATAACATGATCAATTATATTGACATGCTTCATCCTCAGGTACATTTGTAGAAATTATTATAACATGATCAATTATATTGACATGCTTCATCCTCAGGTACATTTGTAGAAATTATTATAACATGATCAATTATATTGACATGCTTCATCCTCAGGTACATTTGTAGAAATTATTATAACATGATCAATTATATTGACATGCTTCATCCTCAGGTACATTTGTAGAAATTATTATAACATGATCAATTATATTGACATGCTTCATCCTCAGGTACATTTGTAGAAATTATTATAACATGATCAATTATATTGACATGCTTCATCCTCAGGTACATTTGTAGAAATTATTATAACATGATCAATTATATTGACATGCTTCATCCTCAGGTACATTTGTAGAAATTATTATAACATGATCAATTATATTGACATGCTTCATCCTCAGGTACATTTGTAGAAATTATCATAACATGATCAATTATATTGACATGCTTCATCCTCAGGTACATGTGTAGAATTTTTTATAACATGATGAATTATATTGACATGCTTCATCCTCAGGTTTATATGCATGTGGTGTGTATATATATGTGGTGTGTATATATAGAAATTAAATGGTTTTCAGCAAGTCAAATTAAATCACCTGTGTGACATCACGGTTATAGACTTTTGCTCAACAGTGGTTTTGTTGTTGATCGAACACCAGCTATACGGATATCGCGGATTTGTAAGATGTTATAGAATTCAATGGTTTTAACCCATTTCTAAACGAACTATATTCCAGGCCTTTTCTTTTGAAATACTTTCTGAAGATTTAGGAAATGCCCACTCTGCATTGCACCCATATATAACCCTACATTTGACTGTTAGGTATATTGTAAAACAAGATTACTTGATAACCTTACTTTGAATAAAGAATTACGACCATGACATCAATGTTTCCGCTGTACGATTGTTCAAAACAAGTGTTTTTGTCAACATTTCAAAATAGCGCATTTTTGAAAAGTCAGGACTCTTTTAAACTCTACAAATGTTGTGAGCAACATTAACAACAACTCACAAGTAACAACTATAGTACATTATGTCTTTGGTTTTTATTTAGCTTTATATAATTTATGTGATTAAAACATGCAAGTAGCAGAAACACGACAACGAATTGGAGATATTTACTATGATATACTTTATGTTGATCACCCTTTTTATAACGTTGGTAGCAGTGAACTATTTAACTACTTTTCATACATTAAGCGTATCTACAATTATCACAATTAAGCGAACCTACACTTATTATGCATTAAGCTTATCTACACTTATCATACATTAAGCGTTTACCAATGTCTCGATATGTCATTGCTATCCCTCTAAAATTACACCTGAACCAAATACATCACGTTTTTGTCCCTTATATTGGCCGACAGTTCACAATTCTCTGTTATGTAAACAAGGAGGATACAGAACAAATACTCATAGCGTCGGTTGTTTATTTGATTATCATTTTATACTCAAGTGTTCTAAATATGACTCATGAATACTCGAAAAAAAAAAACTTTTGATTTAGGCTAGAACAAGACATACATCAAATTTAAAATTGAAGTGTTATCTGTATTTCTTTCCAAGAGCCAGTATCAGGTAACTCACTGGCGTAGTAATTCACAAACATTTGAACCATGCTTTTTATCATTGTCACAATGAGGCGCTGAGGATGTCGTCTTTCAATTAAATGAGAATCGGTTGAGAAATGACGGGATACATGACCATAGTGCATTATTGGTCGCAAATCCCTTGTTGTCGTAGTTGGGAATTATTTTAATGCTAGGAACATTTTTTGTGAATATCAATTAATTGCATTAGGGGTTAATTGAAAGGATAATTTAGTTGAATTGTGTACTATTCTTTCCACGAGTTAAAATATTCTAAACGTTTCAGTTTATGCATTGATACAATAGTTATGACAGGGAGTCATAACAACCACATTTTTGTTTGTCGACAGTACTTTACATGATGATCTATGATTGTAGATAGGTTGAAGACAAAAAGAAAAGGGAAAATACGACATACTAAACGTTACTAAATTTTATGTTGACTTTTATTAATGAATACCGTGACAATCATGCTTTAAATTTATTATTTAATACGTTCCATCTTCAACATTTATGTTGAATCGTTCATTCTTATCTTATGTTTGATGCTTTTGTGGTCTATATTCATCATTTATGTTGAATTACAATCATTCGTATGCAAAGTTCAATGTTTGCTGTTTGTATTTCATGATCAGCTGAAATTTAGACTTAGTTATTAAAAGTACACTTACTTTTCCGTTGTCCATTCGATTACATTTGGTGTTTAGATATGCTCTTGTAGACATATGCACGTACATTGCATATCCCATAATTCCAGAGTAGAACATGCAAAACGAGTGAAACCTCTTACATGTGATTGGTGTATTTTTACAGGCCCTAGGTAACCATGAGTTTGATCGGGGTATTGCTGGCCTCGTTCCTTTTCTCGACAACGTAACATTCCCAGTCATCAGCTGTAACATTGACGACGCCATGGAACCTACAATCCAGGGACTGATCGCCAAATCTACCGTGCTGTCTGTTGGTGGGAAACAGATCGGGGTCATCGGGTACACCACCAAAGATACTACAAGTATCTCGAACCCAGGTAATCAGACTACATTATAGAGATTTAGAAAGAACAATAACCCTTGATTAATGTTTTCATGTACGTGTTTTTTTTATTTATATTTTATGAAGTAGAACAATTTTCATCCATGGATGTTATGTAGTTGAATAGTATTTCTTATCATTAAGTTTGTTTAAATGATATTACCCTGGGTTAAACGCTCGTATAATGACATTGATTTCTATTTAGCATATATTGATGTAATCCAATTTAAACAGTTGAGGTACCTATGTGTAGCTATGCACTATATGAAGACGTTTATGTTGTCTTTTTGATAAACGTCAATTGTTTTTTAAGGATCATTGACCTTTAACGATGAGATAACGTCGGTAAGAGCCGAAGCCACGCGCCTTCAAAGTCAAGGAATCAACATCATCATCGCGGTAGGACACGCTGGCTACGAAGTGGACAAACAGATGGCCGCACAGGTGGAAGGGCTGGACATCATAGTAGGGGGTCACAGCAACACTTTTCTCTATACAGGTAACACAACAGCACTTTCCTGCATACTTATTTTTGCAAACATATGAAATGATTTTAGAATACTAGTAATTGTGTATTTTTGCACACTCCTTTTTTTAATCATGCAATTTTTACTTTTGTACTTAAGGTAAGAATTATTGAATATCTATTAATTTTAATGAAGATCTATTGGAAATATTGATATTTGCAGTGTCTCACATGATAATAAAAACTAATGGATTTGCTAAATATCTTAATATTTTAACATATGCGAGCTATTTTTTATTTAGCAAATCAATAATCTCACATTTCTTTCGAATCATAGACGCGAAAACATGCTCACAAAACACTTTTTTTAAATATATGCGTCCATATTAGGTGACGCCCCCTCCAATGAGTCCCCCGTGGCCGGCTACCCCACCATGGTCCCACAGGCGAATGGAGACAGTGTGTTGGTCGTCCAGGATTACGCTTATGGGAAATACCTTGGCGCTCTCAACGTCACTTTCAACGACCAAGGGAAGATAACTCAGTATGCTGGAAACCCGATTCTTCTGGACTCGAGTGTACCTAAAGGTAACTGAATTGATTTTATGACTTAGTCACTTGGTGATTTATGCTCTTTTAGGGAAGTTATACGTTGTATCAAACAAAATTCAGATTGTTCATCAAAACTCAATCGAGACAGATTGACACGATCAAGCGCACCAAAAAACGACACAATTACAGCAGAGCCATTATCTTTTGCTATAAAAAATAGATTTTTCAATTAACAAAGATTACAATCTATTCTTCATTAGTTAATCCATGGGTATAGGTAGTATAGATAATGGAAAGATAGATATTCTGTAATTAGTTTTATGGGCAGAACACTGCCATACAAACAACGAACCTTCGCTTGTCATTTGTACACAATGTTAATGACTCATGTCTCAGAGGAAACGGATTTAATTACCAGTAAAACGGTTATATAAAGGGTAAACCATTACGGCGATGGCCAGGTAAGGATTGCAGACGTGCACGGACGATTTTTTTTTTAATTGAAAACCAATTTCTTGATAATCTGGATATTTTTCTTTTTTTAATATTTTAAAATGATAGGATACATGAAAAGAACTTTTAGGAATTTTGATGTTGAGTTTTTGCTAATGTCATGCTTCTATATGAATTCAATGCGCAGCAGCGTACACATTAAGTATTCATTGAGGTAATGGAGCGATCGAGGGAGCCCAACAGCTTGTTTTTCGGATATATATTTGATTCAGTCAGTTAAATTTGTTACATGTATATAGTCACTGAGATATCATTTATAAAAATAAGCATATAAACATATATGTGTATGAAGGTTCAGAAATATGTTAATATCTAAGTAAGCTGAAACCGTCTTCCTGCAGCTGTTAGATGATTTCCGCTTTCATACTTTAGACATCACACTTTCAAAACGTGTGAAAAGTGAAATGAAATGTCTGCTTGGGATGACCTTTAATATCGTTTACGTGCTAAACCTGTATCCTGTATCATAGTGCTGGGCTAAATTCAGCAAATCAAATTACTGCTTGTTGGTCTCAGCATTGCTAAATGTTGTTAGCTTTCGTTTGGTTTGTTATCTTGTTCTTGTGTTAACGATATCGATATAATGCTATTTATCTTCCTGACCCTACACTTAAGAAACCCGTATGTTACGGCACGATTTCTCATCCGACACGATTTCTCACCCCTGCAAGATTTCTTATCCGGGCGAGAAAACGTGCAAAACATATGCGCATAGGTCTCAAAATCGTGCCGGTTTTCTCACCCGCCACGATTTCCCTACCCAACTCTCTATCTCAATTGGGGATGGATTTTGTCCGTGGTGTCTTAAAACTTGCCTAAGTAAATGTAATAGATGAGCTGACATGATTTCAAATGAGCAGTAATTAAGTGTACAACATGCCTAATACTTATTTCTTGTTTTATCTATCAATCTATTTATTCATATACTATTATATAATTTATTGCTTTTTACCGAAAGTCGATCTAAACCCCTAAAACATATAAAAAAAAAATACATTTTAGGACTACTTGTTTCTATGCTATGACTATTGGACTAAATATTCAAGGTTTTGTCCATATAAATAAATGCACTTCTGGTCTTTATAGCAAATACAAGTGTTTTTTGTTATATAATGTTGTTTAAAACGTTTAACATGTAAGACCACAGTTACCTTAATAGTAAGTAAAGTGTTCCGCAACCGTTCAAAGTTTCTGCTGGTCAGATACAAAGACTACATGGCACAGGTGGTACATACAATTAGTTGATAGACTACTGATGTACGATACCACAGCATAGCATTACAGACACTTCAAGGCAGGTGAGTAAACATATTTGAAATACAATAAAACAATGTAACTTGAAACTAAATAAAAAGACCACAACAGGATCCGAGCAGACATATAAACGAAACAGTGTTCAAAAATTATTGAGACTGTGATAGGTGTTGCGGAAAGTTTAACGTATTTTACATCATATTACGTAATACCTGTCGTAATGTCTGTCACCTTTTGAAGGTCACCAGCTTACTAAACTCCAGTGAATATTTCTTAAATTATTTATGCAGTGGAATGCTTTAGCTGCAAATCAGGTGTAAACAAAATACGATACTATTTGTTATGATAAAGTGAACCTTATTTTTTAATCGTACCATATGTGTTTTGTTCACATAGATTTAGTGAGGCGACAAATCGGTAGACATTAACGGTGGCCCGTTAGAGGTATAATATAAAAATGATTTATTAATGACTGCAACTAATTTATCTGGAAACAAAGCCGCCAATTCCTTATCACACGGAAGTTTTTAAATCTATAATTTATTCATTTACTTTTGAAATACGCAACAGAAGTCTTAAAAAATCTTCACATATTCAATTAGACGATGAAAACTAATACTGTTATCCGATTCATACAATGCACGTGCGTGCACCTTCTTAATCAAATTCACACGCAATCCGGTTCACCTAAATTGATCCGATACGATCCTTCCACACGGATTCCGACATCATCAGTATCGTACGAGAATTTACATGTCCTCAAGCCAACAGCAGCTGGTCAAAGTTCCTCTGAATTTAGTGTCCTTTAACTGTCGCTCGGTGCCCTAATGACCTGTGGTATAATACAAATCTTCGCGTAGAAAAACAGAACCGTAGAAAAGCAGTGAGACAATGGCGAAGTACCAAATTTACCGTTCACAAAAAGATTTATAGGGGAAAATGTCGACTAGTTGGTTCACTTCTCATTCGGTCAAAGAAGGTTTATTATTCGGAAAGAATTGAAGAATGTGGTAATGACCATAAACAGCTTTTTAGACTCGCAAAAAACTGATGGGACAGAAAGGTGAAATTATCCTACCAAGCTGTAATTCTGAAAAAGACTCGTCGAACAAGTTCAGTGATTACTTTCTGAATAAAATCAGCTCGATTAGCAAAAATATATCGAAAGTGAACTCTACTGGTGACAATGATATCACTGTCATGACTGCTGCCATTAAATTTGATGGTGAACCATTGACAAAGCTCTCACCAACAACCCAGGACGAGTTGCGTAATATCATCATGACCTCGCAATCGAAGTCCTGTGAGCTTGATCCACTGCCTACAGGCCTATTAAAGAAATGTCTTGAAGTCCTGCTTCCTTAAATTACCTCAATCATGAACAAATTATTGGCTGAGTCAAAGGTTCTATTGTGTTTCAAGAAGGCACATGTTAGACAATTGTTGAAGAAGTCTGGAACGGACAAGGGGGAGTTGAAGAACTACCGCCCAGTATCAAATCTGCTTTTTCTGTCTAAGATCTTGGAGAAGGTTGTGTCCCGGGGTTTAGAGGATCATTTCCATGAAAACAGTCTCCATGACAATCTGTAATCGGCCTACCGCATGGGACACTCTACTGAGACGGCCCTCCTACGTGTAAATTGGATAACAAGTGCACAGCGGTTCTTGTCATGCTGGATTTGTCAGCTGCATTTGACGTCATCGGTCATGGTATACGTTATAAACGTCTATTGTACTCTTATGGAATGACTGATACCGCGCTATGCTGGATACAGTCTTATCTGAATGAATGACGACAGTATGTTGCCATCTGATCTTCCACCTCACATGACAAAGTACTAGATTTCGGGGTTCCTCGAGGGTCGGTGTTAAGACCACGAACATATTGCCGGTACTCCAAACAGTTCGGAGAGATTTGTCGTCGTCATAGACTTCGCTATCATTGCTATGCTGATGACACACACATTTACATGGTCATCAATCACAGGACAAATGGGATACAATTTCAGAAAATTTAAAAGTTTCTCTGACATATATCAGTACCTGGATGAACGTCAACATGCTAAAGCTTAACCAGGAAAAGACGGAACTAATCGTCTTTTCCCCAAAGTGTCAAGCAAATCAGGGTCGCTGCTAGAACTATTGAGACTGTCCCAGCTGTTAAAAAACTAGGGGTATACTTTGATAGTTTACTGAACATGGAGAACAAGTGAACGCTATTGCCAAAACATGTTACTACCGGATCAGGAACATCGGCTGTATCCAGCAGTTTATAACTGCAGATGCAGGCAATATTTGGTGCATTCGCTTGTTACCCCTCGGTTGGATTATGGTAACGCTTTGCTCTGTGGTATATCTAACGAACTAACTAGTCGTCCGCAGAGGTTCCAGAACACTGTAGCACGGCTGGTTACTTGTACTCGAAAGAGAGAGCACATCACACCTGTGCTATATTCATTGCACTTGCAATTGTTACCTGTACGATACAGGTCGTAGTACAAAATTTTGTGTACGCATACAAGGCACTGAATGTAACAGCTCCCCAGTACCCAGAGGAGCTTGGTACCCTGTATCAGCCGTCTCTATCACTGCGGTCGGAGTCATAATCATTGTTGTGTGTCCCAAAATCTCGAACTGTGACCTACGGAAACCGGTGCTTTGGGAGGGCTTCGGCCACGTGTGGAATAGCTTACCATCTGCTATTAGAAAGTCAAATACCCTGGCCAAATTCAAGACAGACATCAAAACTCACCTCTTTATCGAACTCTGAGAGACATCGTTAGGTAACAACAGTACAGACTTTATCGGACTCTGAGAGACATCGTTAGGCATCCGCCACATTCCAACTGCGCTGTTCGTGTTTCTGAGTGCTATTAGTTACAATAGGATCTGACTAACGCTCTTTCTGGTGAATTCATCTTAATCGGTAAAATGATGTGCTGACGCGGGAAAGGTACATACATGTATATCATTTTATTATCACATCATATAAAGAAGAAGACTGCCGGGATTAGCTTCTTTACAATATAGTGTCCTCTTCCTGAAGGGCTTACATTTTTCAAATTCTGTTTGATTCTTTCATTCTATAAATATTTCAAGTACATTCAGACAAGAAAGAGATAGAAAGAAGGATATATGCTGAATGTACGCATACTAAGTAAGTTAACATTCCATCTCTAATAAGTATATCTAAACTGTTATCTTACCTTAAATGCTTGAATGACGTTTTAGCCTAAGCAGCTGAAACGTTTTTGGAAATAGATTGGGGCTCAACTGTAGACTTCTTAGAACTCTTCGATGACGGAAGCAACATTTCCTATCTCCCGAATTGAATTTATCGTCTTTGATGTTGTGGATAGAAAACGCAAATGCTTATATGCAATACTTTTTTTGTCACAGACCCGGATGCTGAAGCCATACTGAACATATTCAGGCCGCAGCTCGAATCCTTCAAAAACAAGATAGCTGGTCATACATTGGTCAAAATGGACGGTGCCCGATTATTGTGCAGACAACAAGAGTGTAACATGGGGAACATGATTGCCGACGGCATGGTTTACCAAAACCTCCGACATGCTGACTCCCTGGCTACTTCCAGAATCTTCATATCGCTTGTCAACTCCGGATCCATTCGGAGCTCATTTGACCAAGGTACATGTAGTTGGAGTAATAGTATTGAAAGAAATGATTCACAGATTTTAAAATTATAAATATCCATACTGGATAATTTAAGAGATTTTTTTCTTTAGGCTAATATTGGTTATGAAATAGACTCATCTTATATTCTCCATATACATGTGTTTTCATCATAACAAAATCCACGCAATTGTCTCAAATATACATGCACCTCTTTCTGTAATAGCTATGTATGAAACCATGACTAGTCTATACGTATAACACTAAGTAACCAAGTACTTGCTACCTGTTAACCACAACACCCTTTTTCCATATATTTCCAGGAAACATCACTTTTGCCGATATAATTCAAGTACAGCCGTTCCGGAACACTCTGGAAACGGTTCGCCTTCAGGGGCGCCACCTCCGGGCAGCCCTAGAGAACAGTGTCAGTCGGTGGAGCCCAGACGATCCGTCCGGCCGCTTCTTGCAGTACTCGGGTAAGACGTTTTCTTATTTATATAAGGTTGCAGTCTATTTATATTAAACCTACAAGGTTCAAACGCACAGACACTCCGTGAATTATTTAAATGCATTTTCTAAATAAGTGTACACCCTGTTAATAAAAATACTTGCATTTTTACAAACTTTATTCAACATATCTGTGTGATTACAAAGAAAAATGCCCATACATTTATAGCAATATAAGAGAATGTGAAAGGTTAGTAATTGGTTAAATATTATATTCAGAATACGACAGCAGATTTAAAACATCTGTTACTTCCCTTTCTTATATCATGAAATTGAATAGAATATTGTATCCAAATGACAATTGTTTTGTATAGTTAATAATATAATTGAAGATATTGCAAGCTGCCATCGATATTGGTATCGCAAAAATAGTTGCTACAACAGTTTGTGAAGAGTGTTTTTTGTTGTTTTAACGAAAATATAAAGAAAATGTATTTTTAACATTTAAGAAAGCGTGACACCCAGTTTTTACAAGCAATTTCTCCAATTTTTGTAAACACGGCCCATGAAGTTTGTTATACTCACCTGTCCGTCTGTTTCAACAGTAGTTTATACAAGTTGTTTTTTCAAAGATTTAGCCACTAGCATACCGCTGTATGCACGGTAGGCACAGAGGCACGGTAGAGCAGTAGTAGGATGATGGGCTAGGATAGCGGGTTCGAGTCACGGCACGGCACTGTGTTGTATATTTGAGCAATATACTTTACTCCCCTTGTTTCAGTCTACTCAGCTGTAAATGAGTACGTGATTGGGCAGTGTAAGAATTATAGAATGCTAGTTGTGAGCGCCGAAATGGCAGCACCGGCTGTATGCTCCCAAGGGAGTTGAGAAAGGTTTTGGCTGGTTGCAAAGGCCCTATAACCACGGATAATAATTTGTGAACCGCGTTGAGACGACCTACGAACTAGATTTTGATAAAGCGGTATATAAAATCTCGAATTATTATTATAACTATGTATGATGCAGAGTGATTCGTTTTGGTATACCGTGTCTATAAATACATTTTAAATGTGCAGTCACGTGGATGTGTTTCGTTCATCTGTAGGCAACTAGGTTATTTATCAATCTTTATGTATGCTACTAATGGGAGATAATCCCTGCTGACATCTTTGATATGATCACATTTTATTATGAATTCGAGGACGAATTATGCCATTTTTTTACGTAGTTTAAGGATGTATCATATACAAATACTCACAGTATTTGGCTATGTTAGTTATATGTATACAGTAAATCTGTGTGTTAACTATAAACATTAAGATGTGCTCATTAGATATAAAAGGAATTAGCGTTTGTCATATAATGTATGATCAGCCCATGTCCAATTGATGTATTTATTATACATTTCTTCTCTTTTACACTTTATAAAAATAGAAAATAGAAATGCTATTCAAAATAACCTCTTTCAAGAAAGTATTTACCAGGTAAATAGTCATTAGAGCTATTTACCCGGAATTATCTATTTAACCTGCAATCAAATTTACGCGGAATTTTTGGCATGAATTTTTATGGGTATTTCTGGAAAGAGCATTTTTATTGTCCCCCTTTACATTAACTATTTCCCTCACACCCATACAATAACTGCATAATATTAATCAGTTTAAGTATGTAGCATTATCAATGTTAACAATGTAATCACGTGTCTTATAAATACAATGAACATCTGTGTGTATCTAATTGATACAACCCATATGCGTCTTTTAGAAATTACAGAATATTACAAAATAGCGCGTTTCTTATATCTATAATAATATATGATAATATATCGGTGTGTCTTGTTTATATATATATATAAATGAAGTGGAATTTATAATTGATGAAAACAATAATAAGGTGTAAAATCATAAATAAAAACAGCTAGGAAAAGTGATTCATGTTTCAAAAATAAAAAATTGTTGTAACTACACCTTCGGTCTTCATCTGTGAAGGCCTGCGTGTGACATATGACATCACCAAGCCGGTTGGCCAGAGAGTTGTGGACGTGATGGCCATGTGTTCGGACTGTCCAGTGCCGGAATATCTTCCACTGAACGACGATACCATGTACGGTATAATCATGTCTAACTTCATCGCCAAAGGAGGCGACGGATATGACGTCATCAGTGACAACGCTCAACAGGACCACATTGTCGGTAAGAAATAGTTATATTCCTCTCACATGTACCATTCTATTACCGTAACGTTTATGTAGGTCGACTACATACAGTCATTTTCTGTATATCTAGAAGTAATTTGGCTGGTTGCAAAGGCCCTATAACCACGGATAATAATTTGTGAACCGCGTTGAGACGACCTACGAACTAGATTTTGATAAAGCGGTATATAAAATCTCGAATTATTATTATAACTATGTATGATGCAGAGTGATTCGTTTTGGTATACCGTGTCTATAAATACATTTTAAATGTGCAGTCACGTGGATGTATTTCGTTCATCTGTAGGCAACTAGGTTATTTATCAATCTTTATGTATGCTACTAATGGGAGATAATCCCTGCTGACATCTTTGATATGATCACATTNTTCCTTTTGAACAGTTCAAATGATGCGCTACATGAAACATTGGTTGAATTTACATATATTTATTCAATATTTGTTGTGTTTCCACTATATTATTGTCATTTTGTATGTTTTAGAAGAAAACGGTTTGAACTAAATATACTACGTTTATCTAATGCTGTTCATGATGTGATGCTATGAAACATTTTGCTGCTCGAAGCGAAGTTATTTTATTATGCTGGACAAACTAAGAAACAGTATCCCTTGACCATCAATATGTTCTGTGTGGACCTTTGATGTTGGCGATATAAAAATTAACGAACTTTGGCTGTCACATTTTCTCTGTTTAAAATGCAATATCATAAAATAATTACCATTTTCCTGTAATTAATTGAAGTGATATTATTGACCTTTGTATGACCTTGTCTCTTAAGGTGACCTTGACACGGACGTGTTGACGGAATACATTCAGGAGATGTCGCCCCTGTATCATGGACTTGAAGGTCGGATTAAGTTCGTAAACGGAACCGAAGTTGAGGAATGTGTCGGGGCAGGATTCGTTACACGTCCCTCCAGCTTCCTACTGCTTGCCGCGCTAGTACTTTTACAAGTAATGCTGACAAGAGTACCCAGCTAAGATAAATTGTCTTAGAAATACGTGTTCCTCAACTTTTCAAAAGACACTTCTCTTGACCTATTGGTCATCATTGTACATTTAGAACTAATACCTCTTTTTGAGTTAAGAAAGAATTATTCGCATTTTTATAGCGGCAAAAATGAACTATGATTATCGAGACAATCGGTAGAAAACGCACATTTGAAAGACATTTGATTTTTAGCTCACCCATTCAAAAAAGCATTGCAGTTGACACATTACATTAAAAAAATAAAGCCAATTTATATTTCAAAAGTTGCATTTTTTTTCAAATTTGCAGATAAAAGTTTTATCTTTATTTTAATGAACCATCATTATTGAACATTGTACATTGGTAATTTTTGAACATTCGTTTAAATAACCTCCAGCTGTTATACACCAAATCAAACAAAAAATACCCTTTTCAACCTAATTCTTTTTTGGATATAAATTAGATTCATATAATTTAAATGTTTTGGACGTGGCTAGAAATACACATCCTGCACATATTTTCGCTTTAGTGGGAATTCTTAAAATCATATTTAAGCTTCCTGAACAAAATTCGCGAATATGAACACTCGCGGTATCTGATATACAACAGCAGCGATATATATACAGTTTTGTTACAAACTTTATTTTCCTGCTGATTCAGCAAAAGTTACAAACATTCACAAATTACGCCGCCTCAAATGGCAAAATGCATAGATTATTTTTGCTGATGTATAGGGCCATCAGCGATAACATTTGTTTTCAGGCGATATATTTTTATTTCTGGTATGAAATGTTTAAAATCGTTCCATACTGGCTCAAAGTTATGCATATTTAGTATAGCTTTATTGAAGAAATGTTCTTATAATTCTGTCTACAAGGCTCTCGCTGCCCCATGTTGATGCTCAGTAAAACTTGGGCATGTTTAACACGGCTGCAGCAGTCTGTTTTACTAATGCTTTTATGATGATATCTTTTAAAGATAATCTCGGATTTTCTTATGACATGCTTACTTATCTTTTACCGAAGTTGCCTGCTTACATTTAATTGATGCTTGTTAAAATTCATGACTAGTTAATGCGGCTGAGACTTGATAGGTCGGAGATTTCCGGATTATATATTTGATTGAATGAACGGATTTCAATTGCATACCACCAAATTCCCTTGCTCAGGTTTTGTGCATGGTGAAATTCACGAATTTCTCATGTGCTACAGTGATTTGATGAGCTGATGGTTTCCAAGATCATTTTTGAAAGAATCGGATTCAAATGAAACCTCACTTTACGCACTACCCAAGTGTGTCAGTACACTACTTAAATAAATATACAATAATTTAACACCAAATATATTGTCTTACATCCTTCGTCAGCATGAATGAATTATATCAGTCATCATTACATGTACAATATATCTTGCACAGGCGATACATTCACTTCTATGGATTCTGTTTTGTTAATAATTATTAGTAATCTTTTGAATTTCATATCTTGAATAGTCATATGATCAGTTGTTAAAAATCCATCAATTTTCAATGAAATCCACTTATCACCATCACCCTTTTCATCGGAATACTTTTTTCTATGTTTTGTCCTTCAGTATGTATATACTTTTATTTTGTGTTATGTTTAAGACAAATTAGATTTGTTGATAATTAAGTCAATGCGTCAATTGTTTGTATAAATAACTCGAGTTTAAGTCTCAACTTTTCGAATCAAACGAATTCATTCAACACAATATGCAAAATCTAAAACTTGCATTTACCACGTCAAATCAAGGATGTCTGAATTGGATATAAACATATCCATTTGTGTATTTGCTGATATGATATTAAACTCCAAATAGACAGGTTTTTTTTCTCCATATCCATCGTTTGTATACCGCACCTTTTGGTATCGTGAATGAGGACGGCCTTATCCTGCTTGCTAATTGTTGCAGATATTTTATTTATCATAACGTTATATCCGTCTCTTGTTTCGGAGTGACAGAAGAGTCCTTGATGTCTTAGATCCTATGTCTTTCCCATTCGGAAATGCTTCTTAGATGAAAAGAAAAATATAACTGCAGCAGGTCGAGGGGATCTGCCGAAGTAGAATATTATGTTGGTGTAGACGTAAATATATATGTATCCAACCTTTTTTGCTGAGTGGAAAATGATCACTATTATTATGTAAATAACAGAATTATGTTATTATTCTTTGGCATTGAATAAATGCTCATATTCGACAACAAATTGGAATTTTAGTTATTTTTCTGGTATTTGCAAAAAACATAGCAGAGTTTCCATGTGTGCTACTACAACCTTGTTTTCCTGACATTCTAAACATGATGATATAAATGTATATAATTAGATGGATTGCTTCAGAATTCTTTTTCGATCTTCTTGAATTATTTGACGTTTCAAAACATGAAATGCTGTTTCAATAAAATGCACTGAAATGTTATGAATTATTCAAGATATAGGATGCTGATAATTCATAGATATTCACTCTCATGATTTTTGTCGAGCACAAATAGCGATTACGTTACTAAATATACTTCATCCGTACTTTGAAGCATCAGACATCCAAATGTTTTTCATGAGAATGAGGAAAATAATTTAAATCCGACCTTGTCGATACCCATCGATACAATGATTATCAAACTATCTCAATATACGGGTATGTCTCTGTCGGTAGGTATCGGCCCGACCACTCAGACTTCTCATAAATCGCGTAAGTAATCATGTACTGCTATTGAAATAAAGAGATAATGTATATTATAATCATTGACAAATTAACAATAATGATTAACTCACCAACTTAACACAAATGTGAGAGTGGAAGAGAATGAAAAAATATGTCCAGGTAGAGAGTAAGAATGTGATTTATTACTGTTACTGAGAAAGAGATTTGAATGAAGTATACGAGTTGAGAGTGGATAATACAGATGTAATTAAACTACAATCACATAGCTTGGAAAATCAATCATGAAACTAAAAAACAAAAATCCGACCTTGTCTAAAGCATAACTATTTTGTTTTCAAATGTTTATGAGGGATTAAAACACACTTTTAGAATTAATTTAAAATTCAGCTTAAATAACTATGAATTTTATAATATTGCATTTGTGAAAACCCCTTTTAAATTAGGCTTGCCGATTATAATGAATATTCATAACGTAGACATGATCAAGCGAGTCCATGAGGCTAGTCAGTATAGGCGAATTGTACTTGTTAATAGGGTGTCGGATTATGTGTGCAGTACATTTTTGTTAGGAGTCTGCATAAGCGAGTTATATTTGTAACTTATGTTCAGTGTACGAGGTTTAGTTTTAAAGAAATGCACAGTTTATGTTAAATTAAATTTAAAACTAATGTTTTGTATATGTGTGAGTTTTAGTTTTAACCTTAATTTCAAGTCCTTTATTACTACAAAGTAACTAAAGTGTGATATTTACAGTGCCTTACACACACTTATATTACACAACATCTCACATACTTACAACACAGTTACAAATAGAAACAGCATCATATGTTTTGAGAGTACAACTGTAGCTTTTTTTATCATGATTGGGTTCTTTTTGAATTTGCAATTTTTATACATTTTCCGTTAGTTCGGTACTCCTTTCGTTTTTGTACACTCAGCAGTCCTATAAATCTAGCTTTTTAATACAGTAAGTTTGAAGAAGAAAAACATGCTCACAAATCACAATTACATGGGTATTTCAGAATTTTAAGAACTACATATTCAATATATGTGAGTTTTTGTTTTAAATAAATTTTCAGTATCTAGGTTCTAGTTATAATTAAACTGTCGGTAAATGTTAGTTGAAGTTGTGACCGAAGATCAGTAAATATAAGTTTATATTGTAACTTAATGTTTAGTGTAGGTGATTTTTAGTTTGTCATTGAAATTTAACTATATGTGAGTTTCAGTTATAACTTAATTTTATTTTAGAATTAGTTGTAATATCAAGTTCTCTACCAGAGTTAAATTTGAAACTGAACGTGTGGTATGTGTGAGTTTAAATAACAACTGATATTCAGTGTATGTGAGTTGAAGTTGTGACGAAAGGTTCAGGATATGTGATATTTAGTTGTACCTCAGTTTCAATGAGTGAATGAGTTTTAGATTAACCCGAGTTATTGAGTCAACGAATTTTAGTTGTACCCGATCATTGAGGCAAGTAGTTTTCATTATATTACATTCCATTTAACTTAGTTTTGTGTCGTAATTTTTGATAATGTAAAATTTAAACCAAATTACACCATTTTGAAGTTCTGTTTCAAGGAAAAAGAAAATTGTATGTTCAATAACAATACATAATACATTGTATCGAACCTTTCTTAAAACTTTTTTTATTTCACAACAATTCTGAAACAATTTATTTCAACTTATATTAATCACTCTTGCATGCCCGGATGTTAGCGCCCTGAGGGTCTTGATGTTGAAGGAAACCAAAAAACTACGTGATCGGACAGGTGACTCCATACTTTTTCAGGTCCGTTCGAGGAATCGTACCTTGGCCATCTTGGTAAAAAGCGTGAACACTTTCCACTTCACCATCCGACCTGCACCCTGATCATCTTTGCCGTTCGAGATTATGATTTACATATTTTTAAGATTCGCAGATGAGGGAATTAATGTTTTCTCAATTTTTATTTTCCCGGAACAATTCATCAAGAAAAGGAAGTTGATGGATACGTTGGACATCTATTTTAATCAACACAGGTGTTTTTTCATGAAGAGGCTAAAATATACACTAAGGTCCCTATTATCTTCTATAGATATTTATATTTTACCTAGACATAATAGTTTATTACAATGGAAAGAGAAAGTAGGCAGAGTAGATATACGATGTGGGGGATCTATATTCACATGTAATCCAAACATGTGAAACGGCGTTACATGTTGTTCTTATAATAATGTTATAGTAGTAGAGAAGGGTTGTGGCGTCTGTGTATGTGTATCCAAGTGATTAATATGTTGTTTTTTCTAAATACGTCGTTTGCGAGACACGTTTCCTCTTTTGATCAACCGGATTGTAGATACGCATGTCACTTGGAAGGGGACTGTGTACTTTCGATAAACACAAATAATCTAATAATTGTCAAGTTGTTACAACAATATGTTAATACACTGCTGTGCAGTTCTCGACTTCATGTCTAACGAGAAAGCGCTAGTCAGTAGATATACCATTCATGAAAGATATGAAATTTCTGCCATTTCCGTTACCAAATTTACACTTAGACGAAATTACATTGTTATTAATTTACCTACACTTGAAGTATACATGGCCCCTTATGTACCACGTGACTGCCAAATCACATGACTTGTTCCAGAAACTTGTACATTTTGTGTCTCGGAAATGACATATTAACTTCATCAACCTGCTAGATAATGTCGCTATCCAGAGTCCCCTTTTTTTCCTTCCCCACCAACGATATAACGGCCTCCCCTAATATCTTGTAATCATCCAAACAGTTGTATATCTGGACAGACAAACGGACATACAGCTGGTTGTTCGCGGACTTCAGACAGACGTCTATATGGTAGTTTTCGTACATGAGGTCCATCAGGGAATCGGCATCTTCCTGTTAAAAACAACAAGACACGAAAGTGATAGAAATACATGAAGTATTTAAATTAAAATAATATAAATGAAATAAGTCCTTAAATATGGTTTCACTACCATGTATGTAACAGATATTAATCATGTTTGAAACTTATTTCTATCTTCCATGCAATGCATGTCTGTTAGGTATGTTTTGTGTCTACTATTGTGCATATATGTAATATAATAAGACTCTTTTATGCCCATCGGTGTAGGATAGGAAAATTCCACCCGAGGGTTTTTCAAATTTGATAAAACCGAGGCTGTGCCGAGGGTTTTGCCAAATTTTAAAATCCCGAGGGCGGAATTTCATTATCCTACACCCTTGGGCATGAAAGTGTATTTTTCTCTCATTCCAGACACCAGAATAAGCCCAGAAACCATGAAAAATGCGTTTGGACTGGCCACCATTTTGAAAATATCAGTTTTTCCCCTGAGCTTTTTAGACGAAAACGAATTAGCCAGCCAGATTAAGGTATCCCATATTTGCAAACAAGGTTTGCACAGAAAAAATAATCACATCTTTGTAACGTGTACGGTAAATGTATCGAAAACGGTTTTGAATTCATCACGTCGCCTTTTCCGCATTGCAGCATCAGAGAGTTCCAAATTCGTGACGTCACGTCATTGTTGAGCCATTATGACGTCACGTCACGTGAAATGGGATGTAAGATAGACATTTCCTACACCCTTTCTTATCCTATACAACTTCATCTTACACACAGGGAAATGAGAGAAATATATTTATCATATGAATACTGTGTTATGCAGTGTCATAAAGACATCACATAAATTATGTTTATGTAACGTGTGTAATATCACTCCTGAAATGACGTCACGACGGCCAAGTGCAAAATATTCGTTTCAGATTATACTTATACATTTTGCTTTGTATTATAAGATAAAAGGAATCTATACATATAAGATTTATGATACTCGTTTTAGATTTTTCATATTTGCTTGCCTCATTGAAAAATCCAAAACTTGTATCATAAATCTAATATGATGGGAAACTTATGACATACAAATGTACCCTCTATATATATAGTATCTAATGGTTTCCTGTTGAACACTGCGTATCTGTCATGAGTATGCCAGAATATAGTCATTTATGCATATGGTATTCAAAGGAAAACCGATAATTTTCTACTTATTACATTTTGAAAGTGCAAAGTGAGAACAGTACTTCATCCAGAAATGTTAGGATAAGTTGGGTTTTCTTTAAGCACCATATTCTGATGTTGTCTCGCTTGACAACAATAATTTGTGCCGTTTTAATTGAACTACGCAAAGCAATACCACAGTTCTCTGCTAGTTTATATTACGATGTCCTCACAGTATTGTGTAGTTATGTAAAACAAACCAAAACAACTACGTCGATTTATCCAATCTTTTTACTGTTGTGCAATTGCAATATCAATTCAAAAACAATGTATCATTCAAACAAAACAGTATTCGAAAAACATCAACTTTTTCTGTACATCACTACAGTAAAACATGTGATATATCGAGATTGATATAAATGTGCACACGAAGAGATCTTGCAATCAGTTAACCAATATAATTTTATTGTTTTATTGCAATCTTTACTAAATATATTTAATGAATGAATGTACGTTGTGTTACTGCCAGGAAATATTTCAGTTTTCCTGATTACCTTGGAGGTCCCGAAGCCAGGGATTTCTGGGAGACGTATCAACCTCAGGAACGGGGGCTCCATGGAGGATGGGATCAGTAGCTTACTCGTGTTCCACAACGATATCAGATGGTCTGACGCCATCTGTAAAAGTCTCGTGTTGTATGCCGATATTCGCTCCTACAAATTAATAAATAAATGATCGAATAAATACGCGAAAGATCACTTATCAACTTGGTGTAAGTTGTAAATTGTTATCTCTTGACATAGAAGAAAAACTTCAAGGCATACAATGTGAACAGGGCTTAGTGTGATTAAATCCATTTTGTTTATGCTTAATTTGATCCAAACCTGATTGCAAGAATGGTAATTTAGATTCTGCAATCAACTTTCCTCGTAAAATATATAGATTCTGAGAGATAAAGATAATTTAGTTTGTATTTGACACCTCACTAGTCCTCCTTTACTTTTGATGTATGCTACAGCGGTAGGTAGGGCATTGTAACAACTTTCGTCCCTAGTGCCTTGCAGACAGAACTGTGACACAAGGTCGTCATTTGGAGATGAAGACGTGAGGGATCTCAGCGGGAAAGCAACCTTCTTATTCTTCCAAGCAAATGCACACCCCCATGGCGTAAACATCCATTTATGAAAAGATCCTGAAATGAAGGAATGTGGTATACGGAAGAGCATTAGGTCCACGTGGAAAAAAAAGTTTCATTATTTCTTGTAATTAATCCGACATAACTCGAAATTTCGACTTAAAAACCTCAAATTTCGACTTAATAACTCGAAATTGTGAAAGACCCACTCGACATCTTGACTTATTAACTCGAAATTCTACTTAAATGCCTTCCTATTTTCTCGAAATTTCGGGATACTAACAGTTTGAACAAGATTATATGTAGTCTAGATCTTTGTGTAGACCAGCAATAGTGTTTAGTCTTTAATTCTGTAATTTCATCTATCAAACCCGAACTCTGTTTATTCTGTAAACTGGCTTTGTTTCCCGGTCTAATACTTTCTATATATTCATAAATGTTCTCTCTGTGAATTAGCAAATTCATTAGCATTAGAATATCACCCTTTCCTTAACATTTTTGTTAATGAAACATGAAAATGAACAGAACTAGAACAGAATGTGATGTAGATTCACAGAGAGTATATTTAATATTGTATGGAAAACATAAGACCCGGAAACAAATTAATGAAGTTAAAGAATTTAAGACCACTTTGTCTAGTTTACACAAAGATCAGGATTGGACAGAATTTGATTGAAATAAATCCACAGTACATCAATTATTATTAAATTTTTTAGCTTAAATACATTATTAAATCCCCAAGATTGCACCAAAGCGCTTCTAGATTTCATTCTCAGGCATATATATCCTAGACCCTTCTCGAGAGGCTTTGCGGTTGAGGTGAAAGCAGTATCCCTGTATTGGTTATGCTCATTATATAAACGAGGGGCTCATGGGCCTTTACAGTCACCCGAGTTCTCATATATTTATACAGATACTTGATTTATATTTTTAAAACATGAACAGAAGTATTATCAAAAAAAAAATACAAAAATATCCAGCATACAGATTTAAGACTGAAAAGTATTTGAATTTAGCACCTTGATTCTAAACAAGGAAAATGAAGAAATTTTAGCACACTGACTCCTTTGTGCGTCCTTGGGGGTAGAGCTGGCTCAAAATGTTCAAAGTATCAAACTGTCAACTCAGGGTTATAATTCCAATCAAGTTATTAACATGTAATATTCAAAGTATCATTTGCCATAATAAATGTTGCNAGCCACTATTTTTGTTGACCTGTGGCCATGGAAGGTTTCTGCAAAATTTCATTGAAATTGGTTAGGGGTTTTTGAGAAGAAGTCGAAAATGTAAATTGTTTACGGACGCACGACGGACGATGGAAGACGGACGACGACGGACAAAAGGCGATCGCAATAGCTTACTTGAGACTTTGTCTCAGGTGACCTAAAGAATCTTTACCTGTATTTCTACAGCTTCAGGTTGTATTGCTCCCCCTTCTTCCCCCTATCAAAACAAGGACTTCGCCCAAAGAACCCCTTTCTAAAAGTGTGGCTCGACGCAAGGTCGCCCAACTATATGAAATCCTAGGTCCGCCCCTGCTTAAAAGGCATTGCCTTTGTTATTAAATCTAAATTTTGAGTTTTTACCTTGAAACTTTGAGTTAGTATGTCGAAATGATCACAGTAATGCAATAATCAAACAATGACATCAGGCACAGAAAGAGACGCAGCAATTATCGTAACAACATCTCAATGCTTTGAAATCGCAAACAAAATAATATTTCTAGCGTACAATGGATTTACCTCGAGTGCTCGCCTCCTAAAACGCTAAAACAAAAAAGTGCTGTTAGCTCTGACTTGATTATGTCAATTAATGTCGCTTGTAACGTTTAATGTTTCTTATCGATCGTAACTGGTTTTACTAGCTTGATTATATGATTATGTACAGTATTTTTATTTCGTTAATTTGAAAGTTTTCTCTTGGTTTGACATTACCATTTGATCACAGGTGGAATACACAGTTGACCGAACAGTTATAAATGTATGACAGTTGAGTGCATGGCTATACATGTATATAGTTGCATAGTTACTTAGTCAGTATTTCTGCTGACTTCCACGTATTGTCTCTTATCATTTTTAATGACATTTTAAGCTTGAATTCATGCTAAAGAAGACAAGTTTCATTTTTTTTTTAAATAATTAGCACGTATAACTAGCTGTATATCAGTACCTGTGAAATAGTCAGCTTTCATTCTGTGAAGACAAAGCGGAACATGTCCAGGGGCATGCGCACCATCGATGACGGTAATAGCGTTGTACCTCCGACATAGCTGTACAATTTCTGTCACCGGGAGCTGCATAGCGCACAAGCAAGTTATATAATCTAAAAACAAATATATGACTAAATAGATAAAGAAAGACATAAAGAAAAAAATTAAGCAACTTGATGTGTTCTTTTTTTCTAGCTTGAATTTAATTGTACAGTTATTTAGAAGGAGAGGTAATACTCTCATATAGCATTGCCACCCCTGCAGGACGGGAATCGGGCAAAGAATACACGTGCTGTTACCCACTGCATGCATCGTAGGAGGCGACTAATGATAAAAAAAAGGCAGGATTGGGGATTTGTTTGGTGTACTCTAATATGGATTAGATCAGCACTATCACAAGGAGGCAAGCACACCAGTATACCCTGTCTCCTGCATACTCCCACGCAAGCACGCATACATTACACACATGGAGGAACGTCCTTTAATGACCTTAGCGGTTAATAGGACGTTAAACAAAATTAAACAAAACTAAACAAAACCATATAATATTGCATGAAAAGGACATTCTGAAAGGACTGTAGAATGCTTGCATAATGTACTTGTACCAATAACAACAACTCGGACGCTCGCATCATTGTCCAGCGCCTCTTTGTACAGGTTGACTACTTGAGCTGTATCCTGGATAGGTACGTCAATGTTGACCACTTTAGTCTTTACACCTGTTTGTAGAATTACACAAACATTACACTTAGCCTGCTTCATAATAAAGTAATTATGTTAACAATATTTATTTGTCAATACTCCTGCATTCTTTTATCAATTGTGCTTTTCAATTTCCATCACCCTTCAAGGAACGTTAACAATATATTAATCAACTTTTTTATGCTAGAATTTTTTTCTTTTATGCTGAACAATAACAAAGACGTTTTTAGTTTGAGGATACTCATTAAAAATGCGTAAGCTAAAATAATAAATCTTTTATCATTCATGACAAAAGAGTAAACTATGAAAGTCACTTTGTTACAAAATAATGAAGATACGGGCAATATCATCAGAACATTTAAAACGCATGATATGATACTAACTTATACTGAGCTTTGATACATCACCTTACACAGTAATGACAAACCGATTTCAAATTCAGTAAGTTGATGTAAAACGCCAAACAAAGCAAATATTTACTACGCCTTTGGCTATTTAGTCAATGTATGATTCAACTGTTGTACTTTATATAGAATAAATGCTTTTTAGCATTTAAAATCTTAAGTATGTTACAAATATTTCAATTTGGCAACAACACGTGCACTTGTGCATGGGTAGAGTACCTGTGAACATTTTCTCGTGTGTTAGATGTGTGTGCTTTGTATGGTGGTTGATGTGTTTGTGGTGTTTGCACACCAACTATTATGAAGAACAATTTGCTAACCTTTGTGATGCTGTAAGATCTGTGCGCATGCGTTGTTTGTGGCTGGAAATGCCTGATTGGTGACCAGGATGGTATCCCCCATTCTAAAAGGAATTGACATCAAAATGGTACTGATGCCTGCAAAACATCAGATTTAGGACAGTTACAGTTACAACGGAATATTTGCTTTGTCACATTTAAATAGTTTTAACAAAATCAAGGACAGCTGTATAGATTATGGTGTCAACATGGACGAATACACATTTAAATCAGATACTGAAATGGGCGATACACCTGTGTCTAAAAATTAACAGGTACTGTCATAATTACGTCTTTGATTTAGATTTTTTTGTGTCTTTGTGACAACTATGATCATATTGTAACCAAACAGTTTATCTCAACGACTGTACGTATTGCGGTATGAATCTTTGCAAAAGCTAAGATCATACGAAGATAATGTTGCAAATCTAGAGCTACTATGTAATTTCTGCAAGGTTGAAAGTAAAAAGTTGGACACGTTTGCATTACACGACTGTAACGAAAGACAATGTAAGTGTCGTAAAACCTCTGACATGACATATGATATGACAACATGAATAATAACATTTAAACTATTGCAGAGCTATCGTGATACTAATACGAAACTATCAAAACACTTTCACACTACGATCACGCTTTTGTCAAAATACTGTAAAATATTTACAGTACAATCGAGAAATCGTATTTAAAAACTTTGATTTTTTTTATTTGTTATCATGAAATCAATGCTACAAATATTACAATTGGGGTAATTTTAATCTTTTGCTGCAGTCAGTGATATTTATTCTATGCTTAAATGAAATATTAAAAATTTGGAAATTTGTACTTTTTTGAAACATTTGTTTTCTAATTATATTTGTACAGATCTTACAGGTGTATGGCAATACCGATAATCTTAATTTGAGACAAGTTACTACAAAAGCAATGCCAAACTTTTGGAACACTTAAATGTATACCTGTTGTGACATTCGGAACAAGAACAACGTCCTTTGGATCGGCCTGTAGAAAATCGGCCACTGAGTCCCGACCTTTTTTCCATGCAGATAGCTTCTTCCTCATGAAGAAGTTGGTAGGTTGCCTTCTTACCTCATCTTGGAATCTGAACCAGAAGAAGAAAAAGCACCATTAGACGTGGATCACACCTACATTTTACTTCACAATAAAAGACCTGTTATATAGACTAAAGTCACAATCTCACTACAGGATATTATTATTATTTCGACGATGATTAATAAGTATGACAAATATAATATTAATACTGTGACATCAGTGTGGGGCCCAAACATCATCTGTAGGTACATTTATTCGTGGACAACGAGTACCCACTCAAACGGAGAATTGATTTATATCGAGCCGGTAATTACTTTGTGAACCTATGAATTCGTGGATGAATCGTTAAAAACCAATGACGAGTTCGCAAACAAATGATTGTAGATATCAAAGAAATAGGTAACGCATCACATCAAACGGAGATAGATCAATACATCTGTAAAACCAGATGAGACTGAGTACTGATAATCCTATCATCACAAGTTATGCACATAAGTATGGACGATTTTCATTCACCTGTTACTGTTACGTTTTCTTACTGTTGATATCATAAATCTACAAATCCAGATGACAAGGTATTTTATGTTCTCCCCCTAGCAATTTGTGTCAATGAAAGATACATGTGTATTGAAGGGAAAAGGAAACGCAGGGCAAACGTTTGTTATAATTGGCAAAATGGTATAAGGTGTCGTGTATAAGTTTTCTATTTAGCAGTAAAGAGGCATCTTTCATTAACGAATCAATAAATTCATATGTTATTGAACCAAGGCTGTCAAGGGATTGCAGTTCATAGGAGGGTACTCCAAATACAATGTAAATCTGTTGACATTAGTATCGGGTAACTCACAGCCGTTGAATTGCCGATAATGCATGCGTCGCTGAAGCTCCCAACGACGACGGTATTCACGACGTCGACCGTCAGGACGACAAAGCGATTACCAGAACTCATTTATGAAAGCAAAAATCGTCTCCAATGCCTCATTGGAAATGTTCCAGGTGCATGTGCCGCCAATCAAGTCATACGACGCATGCAATTTACACGAGTGAGGGAAGGACCAACGTAAGGACGACAAATAGGTAAGACAAGTGGTCCTGTCGTGACGTCGAGATGACCCACGTACCCAGGTGTATGCGAGATGTATTGTCGTAGTTTTCAATATTGTTCTGCGCGTGGTTTTTGCTTTTTCACAATTCTTCCAAGTTGTACAGTACAATTCACGGTTGCGTAACGTTACACACTAGGTGTAGTGAACACTGACCACGGTGGTCGTCTAACCGAGTTTCAATTTTTGAATACAATCCGTTGACGTTACCATGTGTTTCTTTTTCCATTCGGTATACTTGCATCTTTACAATTTGTTTATTTATAAAGTAAACAAAAATGAATTGCACTGCACCATACAGCTGTGTTGTTCGTATGTGACTCATCGGTAATGATAGAGGCCAAAAAGGGGGAGATCCAAAGCTAAAATTCATATGAAGACGGCTTCCTAGATAGACACCAACGAGCTGAATCTCGTAAAATCTCTTAAGTAAAGGATACGCTTATTACGAGCAGGCTCTGCAGAAATATCACCACGGGGACGATACTGTATGCTTTGGTATAAAGAGCATTTTCACATTTGTATTTTTATTATTGCTATAGAAATATTAAAAACGTTGTTTTTCTTAAAAAACAATTAAATACGTGTATATTGTAAAAGCACCAAGTTTGTTTCGGGTTAAATTTGGTTAAATTCCAAATTCGGGGAATTGTTTCTGCAGACTTTTCATGCTTGTCTATACACTTTACAGCTTGCTTGACATTATGCTTATCCGACAAATGATAGATTCATATAAGTACAGTACACTTTTTTTTTTTTTTTTTTTTTCGGGGGGCTTTAACGTCACGGCACATCACCACAATGTCATACCCGGCCGGACTATGGAAAAGGAGAATGCGCTTGACCCTACGATCTACACATGAGAAAATACAAATACTGGATAGTTGGTTCATAAATCGATATGTCCACATGAGTAGAGGTGTAGATGATAAATCGTATCATGCCCTGGTTAGAAATATTGTGACACAAACTTACTTATGCCTAATACCCCCTCCCCACTAATCCAACCGGTAATTGTAGTGCCATTTAACTCGCAAAACAAAATCATATATAAGTAAACGTCACGCAACTTATTTGTTAAGTCAACAGACGGTACTTTAAAAGCGATTCCCGGATGTCCATGAATAGTTTTTGATTAACAGTATTTAGAAAAAAATACATTGATTTCAAGCAAGAATATGGAACCCAAAAGCAAAGATATATAATGGTCTACATGTGTCTGTATATAAAAGATGTAATACAAGTATCTCCATAGTATTCGACTACATAATGTTTATTGCCCCTTTTCTACTGTTGATTTTACTGACTGTCTACTTAGTACAAGATGTTACGGGTATTTTATATATTAATATCTTTCTAATAACACACTAGTATACCAATAAACATCAGATACATATTTAAGAGGACAAATAACATTACGGGACTATCAGCATTTAGTCTACCACATGACTCAAATAAATATTTTAAGGTGGCTTTGTTCGGAACGATAACAACAATTATCCCGGCAATTTTGATCTGGTTGAATAATTTGAAAAAGGAGTGAACCATTCATAACAAGGAGAATCTACATTCAAATGTATTCTGGAATTTCTTTCCAGTCGTGATATCAAAATTGTTTGTCAACTTAATTATACACCTAAGATGAAAACGAATTTAACAAATAAAGGGACTATGCATGCATGTACTTTTCCCCCTCAAAGTTTCCTGTAATTGAAGTTCAAGTTAATTTTTTGATCATATATCTGTATATCTCCCTTCTTCAGCTTAGTTAAATCTCACTGTGTATACATTATTACTGTGTATGTATAGGAGGCGAGGTCGGAGCCCGAGCCTCCTATACATCTTACTGACCCTCTATGGTTCTGTAGAGGGTCAGTAACTGACTATATAACGAATTTATCGCATCGAGGACCCTTTTTGCTTAAAATGAAAGTGATGTAATGCATAACAAAACAATATGAATATTTAACAAATTTAATCAACTTTTATAAAGGAAAATAATATTAGTTATATAACAAAAACATAACATGTAACAGTCTTTTTGTCCCACACAGATATCACACAGATCGTTGAAACATTTTCTCATTTGTTCATTGTGAGATTTTGTATAATGGTAACACTGCAATTGTGGAACATTTGGGGGTGATTGCCCTGATTGGTGCGTTGAACGTTCAGAGAGTTCTTTGTAACTGAATAGTCAGAGTCTGCTCCAAAATCATCAAAAAGTTAATCGATATTGATGTCATTAAGATCGGCTGGAACAAACTCGGCCATTTCTGTACACGGGGCAGGAGCTTGAGGGAGAGCTANATTATTTTATCATTTTATTTTTCCTAATACATTTTATAATATAGATACGAAACAGGATTTTGAATTTCACACTCTCTAACACACACTTTCTCCCTTACTTCACTCATTTCTTACATCATCATCATCATCATTATCATCATCATTCCAGGAGCATGTGCCGCCAACCAAGCCATACGATGCATGCGACGTACACGAGTGAGGGAAGGACAAACGTAAGGACGACGTATCCGCAGACCAGCTTCGTGCAATCGATTTCTCACAGTTTTGGGATGAATGGGACGGTTATGAGTGGCTACCGCCTTACAAGCGGTTTCAGCTGCATTAGATGACGATTACGTAAAAAGGTAAGACGAATTTTCCTAACTTGTCGTCCCGACGTCACGCGTGGACGGTCAGATCTATGATGGAAACGTTAACCCCAAAATGCCCAGCCACCTTTTGTTGCCTTTGGACTTGCAATAGTAATAGTAATACACACTACACGGTTAAGTGACTTTACACACTGAGTGTAGTGAACACTAACCATGCTGGTCTTTTGACCAAGTCTCGTTATTTGAGTACAATCCGTTGACGATAGAATGCAATTGTCTTTACCCTGCGTTTCTATGTTTGCATTTATACAATTTGTTTATTAATAAATTAAACAAATATGAACTACACTGCACCATGTATGCCTTCTTTTACTCATGGTTGATGCTAGAGACCCCAAAAATTGAAATCCAAAGCTTAGATTCATATAAAGATGGCTGCCTACAGATTCACTATCGATGCGAATAAAAACAAAGAGAGAAGTACAAAAAGACAAAGATCAAAAGTGTTGCGATGGGGGCAGATAATCAACTTTGATACAGGAAACAATACCCCATACTGCAGGGGACCACCTATTAGTTACATCATACAGTGGAATATAGCTGGCCAAGTTTGTCCTCGAACATTTAGGGGGTTTAAATTGAACGTAACGATAAGGAAGTTTGTCTTGAACAATCTCGTAAAATCTCCTAAGTAAAGAATATGCTTATTACTAGCAAGTTCCGGAGAAATATCACCACGGGAACGATGACATTTGCTATTGTTAAAAGAAAGTTTTCGCATGTGTATTNATTTTCACTATCGCTGTAGAAAGATTAAAAAGGTGATTTTTTTCTTCTTATTAAAAGTCTAAATATTACATTGCTAAATTTTAAATTCTAGAAAACTAAACATTTATATTGAAAACGCTCTAAGTTTGTTTGGGGTTAAGTTTCGTGGTTTAAGTACAGGAAACAATCCTATCAAGTCTTGGAGAGGACTGTAAACAAATTCGTAACCTCAGTGAACATTGATTCTAAAATCTTGCTATTGTACTGGACAAAGCGGATGGGATATTCTAAATAAATTTATCATTGTCCTTATCAACGAGAAAGAGAACAACAGAATTTGATCATGTCAGCGTTATGTACTAACGTTATTTCAACACTCAAAGTAATACAAATGTACACCCACCTTTGCTCGGCCGTAATCACCGATTTTGGAACAGCACCTATATACCCATGATTAATGAACGTATATCCCGCCTCTAGAATAAAGTCTGTCTGTCGTAATTTGTTTCAAAATTCGGGGAATTGTTTTTGCAGACTGTTCATGCTCGTCTAACAACTTTACAGCCTGCTTGACATATGCTTATCCAACAAATGATAGATTCATATAAGTACAGAAGTACTCAACCCTACGATATACGCATGAGAAAATACAAATACTGAAAGGTTCTGAAAGCGATATTTTCCCACGGTTAGAGGTGTAGATGATAACTCGTATCATGCCTTGGTTAGAACATTGTGACACAAAATTATATACACCTAACCCCCCACTCCCCCTCCCCACCAATCCCACCGGTTACTGTAGTGCCATTTAACTCTGGCTTCGTCAGCTTTATTATATCTGAATGTGTATGTGCAGTGAAAAAAAGTTCAGTGGCTTGAAACTTGCTTCAAATATGGCGTTATTCACGCTTCAGCGAGGTAAAGGTCTAATGACAGCTATTGTTTCGTTCTGGACACCTGGAAACATGGAACATAACATGATCCATCATGTCTAATTATAAAACGAACGGATGCTGATCGATTTCTTATTCCATGGATTCACATTATAATTTCCTTGACAGTAAACAACAAGAGGCCCAATGGGCCTGCATCGCTCACCTGGTATAAGTCTCACACTTGTAACCTTAAAAGTGATCTAAAATAAAGCTACAGGAAAAATATCAGTATTTATGATTAAAATTCATTCAAAAGATCCTGTTAATTTCTTTTAAAACATTTCACCCCTATGATTGAAAGTCGAACAAAGTCATTATGTTGAACAAATGTTATAGCCTTTCATCTCAGGATGCAACTTGCAAAGTATCAACATCCTGGGACCCATGGTTATTCAGAAGAGGTCGTTTAAAGATTTTAAACAAATTTGACCCCTGTGACCTTGAATATAAGTCAAAGTCATTCACTTTAACAAACATAGTAGTCCTTGATCCCAGCATGCTACTGACTAAATATCAACATCCTGAGCCTTTTGGTTATTCA